TATTATATATTTAGTATTCTCTATAGCTAGATTTAGAATCTTATTTATCTTCTATTTCTAGGTATTCTTTAATAGGGTAATAATATCTAGTTAGCTACTAGGAGTTCTAGTTTTCTAGCTAGATATACTTCTTATCTAGGGTATATCTATAGAGTATTTTATTTCTATATAGAAGTATTATTAGAGATTATCCTTTTCTTATATTTTTAGATATTATTACTCTCTATTTCCTATTAGTTGGGGTAGTATAATAATCTGAGTTATTATTAGAAATTAAGTCTTCTTATTATACTATAGCTATAATATAGGATATTTTATTAGTTAAGTTATTTATAGTATAGTATTATTCTAAGTAGGGATTAATTTCTAGATATCTTTATTTTTATTTTAGCTATAATTTCTCTTTTTCTTTAGTCTTATTTATTATTTTACTTTAGTTTTCTATCTATTTTCTTATACTATATAGCTTATTTTTATACCTTTTCTTTAGTATTATTCTTAATTTCCTTAGGTATTCTCCAGGTATATAGCTCGAGGGATAGAGTATTATTAAGGTACTTAACCTTCTAATTATTATTCTTATAGGCTCTATTAAACTCTCTATTATAGCTGCTTTAGGTTATATAAGAATTTTAAATTAAATAGCAGTTTAAGGTTTATTATTATTAGGATACTAGTAGTTAGTAAATTATATATACTTACCTTCCAGTACGGGCTTATACTTTTAGTTAGTTTTTAGGGTGTAGTATTTACTTTTAAAGTAGCCTATCTTTCTGTAATTTTAATATTTAACTTTAAGTAATTCTTCTAGGCAGCTTCTAGTTTTATAGAGCTGGTTAAGTTTTATAGGAGGTATTACTCTAGTATCTTTTTCCTTAGTTTATATTATATTTTTTATTTTTCTAGGGTTATATATATATTCCTCTAGACTTCTTAGCCTTTTTTTCTTATTATCTTTTAAATTATTAGTTATTAATTTCTACAGTAAGTATTATAAGTCTATTATAGATAGTAGGTTTTTTCTTTTAACTATAGTATTTTAACTTCTAACTTTAATTCTAGTAGAAGCTTACTATAAAGCCTCTTCTTTCTAATTAAGTTATAATATAGAATTATAGTATTTAGCTATATAGATAGATATAGCTTCTTTTTACTTAAGCTTCTAAATTTACTATTTAGCTATTTATTTTTTATCTTAGAAATTACAAAAGCTTTTAAGCTTATACTTAAAAATTATATAGCTTCTATAGATAGCTCTAGTTTCTTTCTTTTGCTAATTATAGGTATTATTAATATAGTCTCTTATAATAGATTTAAATTATTATAGGGCTTTATTCTTAAGAAATTCTATTTTATATCGAACTTTAGCTTTATCTATTTTAAATTATATTGAATAGTATAGTTAGTAGGCTTATAGCTATATAAGAATTCCTATAGGTTTACTACTATACTATTATAAGAGTTAGACTAGTATAGTTAAAGAATTTCTCTAGTATCTTTACCTCTAGCTATATTAGATATAGTATTTTTAATAAAGTCTTATATATAGATTTCTATTTAATAAGTTCTACAGTAAGTTTATTATTATACTTAAGCAGATTCTTATATTATTCTATTAGAATATTAATTTACTGCTACTTATTTTCTACATTTATCTTAGAGGTATTAAGAAGGTTATTAAGCTAGTTAGATAGCTTCTTATTAGCCCTTTTAAGACTTTTTATATCTTTCTAAGTAACCTCTTCTCTTCTTCTTCTTTTTCTAAGATAATATTAATATTGCTATTATAGTTAGTACTTAGATTCTTTAAGAAAGAAGAGGTAATAGCAGGAGTTATAAAAGCTATAATAACTAATTTAAGATATTACTTAGGTTAATATAGTAATATACTAAATAAGAGCTATTAATATATAACAGTTAGATTTAACCTAGGGTATAGAATAGATTCAAGGTATAAGATATATAATTAAGTAGATTAGGATATTATAGTAAGTAATATAGGTTACAGTCTGATAATAGTAGAATAGTAGATTTAATATAACTAAGTGTATTAATAGCTAGTAAGGCTATCTATCTATAAAAGTGCTAAATAAGTATCTATATACTAGATAGGGATTAGTTGGATTATATAGAGTATTAGATTATAATAATCCTAGAATTATAACAATCCAGGATTGTAGGCACGATCCCTAGTATAACGCTCTATATATTATTAGATAGGAAAAGTAGGTATTTGTGGGATTACTACTAGGACTAACTGTCTAGTTAATCTGAGCTGTAATACTTACTTGCTTATTAAACATGTTATCTATAATTAATATATTAATAACTTAGTATAGTAAGAAGGATATAAAGCTAATAGACTTCTAGTAGTAAAATACCAGTTTCCTATTATATAATTAAATAGCTTGTAGTTTTTAAATAGGAGTGCTATTAGATAGGTAGGTACTAAAGATCTCTAACTATTTAATATTTAAGATTCCGACTCCTTTCTTATATAATAGTATAATTCTATATAGAATTTCCTTTAAAAGTATAATAAAATAATATTTATAGAGACTGTAACTGATTTTAATATTCTATTAGATAGTATATCTTTTTTAAAGAACTTTAATATACTATCTAAGATATTTACTAACAGACTAATATCCGGATATATAGAGTAACTAAGCTAATAAATCTCTTTCTTAAGTTCTGTACTTACTTATAGCAGTTATAACCCCTCTTCTAAAAAAACTGAAGTATTAATAATATAGCTACTTAAAATACCAATCCCCGTTAATAAGCAAAATCCTATATTGCAGGATATAAATAAGGCAAAGTAAGATACTGGATTAGGTTTTATAACATCGAGCAACTATCAGCCCGAGGCATAGGACGATATTATATCAATAAGTAGTTCAAGCACAACAAAGCTTATTAACATTATATCAATAAGCAGTTCAAACACAGAGGAGCTTATCGACGTCGAGGGTCATCATTCGCACAGTAATAATTTCCAAATCCTAGCTCCGAATGCAAACACATCCCCAGAAGTAAGTAGGCCGTTCGCAAGCTCGGCAGAGCAATTGTATCCGATTAATCAATTACAAAGCACCAAATCTGTCGCCCTGTGCGAGTCTGTACTTGTCACGCTCAATCCTCAAGCGGCAACACCCCAAAACAGGCCGCCAGCGATAGGTAGCCAATTTGGAATACTCGTGCCGAGTCCTACGCCACCTATCAGCCCTATGAACCGTCCAGTACGAGAGCAAGTGATGCAAGTATTAACATTTCATTGGCCACCTAGCATTACCCAACCTCGAGGCGCTAGTTACAGTCGACATCGGTGCACATAGGCTAAGTTGTGTAGACGGGGTGGGCCGTGAGTGTCGTAGTGTCTCAACAAAACCTTCTGGACTTTGCGAATGCGCACACCCTATGACCGCAAGTGACTGTGGAATGCAAGCCTATTTGGCGAAGGGATCTGATAAGCCTGACGCGCACCGTCTCAAAGGCATCTTGTGAAGGATGTCCTATGCCTTCAAAAGACTCCGCAGCAGTGAAGGAGCTCAACGTCACAGTTTCCACAACCTTTGACCCACCTCTTACGACCAGGTCTAGATATGGAGAAAGGCGGAAGAATTGGAGGTGCGTGTGATGGAGACGAGTTTGATAGAGAGAGAGAGATGTAACGCCAAGGAGAGCAACAAAGCGCTCCAAGCCTCCCAGGGGGCATGTGGCGTGCGAGAATCTACATAGCTATTCCAACCACCAGTATACACGAGGCAACAGACCTTCTTGGGAGGCTAGGTCAACCGTAGCCTATATCCTTCTAACCCCGCTGGGCCGTGGTCCACCAGCTGCTTTTAAACACTAGATATCTCGCAAGTTCATGCCTCCTTGTTGGAAAACCTCTAGGGATGAAAAACCAACAAGGGCAAGTGGCAAAGAGTAAGTTCGAGCACATACACTGTGCACTCACTCACTATTCGTATACTCGGAGTTTGGAAGACAGGGCGTGATGCATAATGACGAAACTGCCATATGTCATGGCGACGTACGCCGCATCGAGTTGAAGGGGGGAAGGGGAATTCCGGAAAATTAATGATGCAGAGCCTGATACAGAGCCTGATACGGCGATGTCTCGGAATCCCCCGTGTCTTAGTGTCTTCAAAGTCTCAGCTGGGTGAGGAACCAGGCACAGAGCAGGGGAGCCAGGGGAGCCAAGGAGCTTTCGTCGCAGTGCGGAGCATTCGTGCCGGTGTTTCTGGTTGCCTTCTTCTGTGGTTTCTGTGGTTTCTGTGGTAGCACTCGCCGGAGTCAACTCTCCGGGCGCGATGCGGTCCTAGAAAATATTGTGGCTGATGCGGGGCTTGGCCCACGCTGATGTCATTGCCGGATGTGGCTCCAATCATTCCTCAGGCCTCAGGAGCTAGAACTTACCTAGATGACTGTCCTTCGTACTGTAATACGCGCTTAGTACTACGTAGTACTAGCAGTAGTAACGGGTGATACCGCGTCTAGCGTGGGCCTATATGCGGCTGGGCAAGTATCTAGAGCTAGTAGCCGGAGTGTTTGGCCGAGTGGAGTACCTGGTGGCGTATAGCTCACTTGTTTCCGTCCCGAGGCATGCATGGCTTGTGGGCAGCTCAATGTATGAAGTACGAACGCTCATCGAAGCGCTAGACTCGGCGTAGTCAGATCAGATTGACATGAGATCTACAAAGTATCTGCATAAAGGTTACTGTATCCGTACGAAGCACATCGATGCCATCTGCATCTATATTTTGTACCACGTAGTGACGTACTGTGACGTGACGTGCCACAAACACACAGGGCCATCTTCTCCTGCAGCGGCGTGGCGCTGTGGCCAATCATATACTTGTACGCCCATGCAAGGAAGCACAGTGTGTGCAGACACACCGGAAAATCCTCCCATTCCTGGGTGTTTCTTGATTATTCGGCCCCATTACCCGCCTGGCACTCCCTTTGCCCCCGCCTAATCACTCAACAATCCACAACAATGGCTTCTCAAGCCTGTTTCCCAAGCCTGCTTCCGAGGTGAGGCGTCCCGAGCCAAGATTTTCACTGGATAAATGGAGCGGGGCTTCAGCTCCGTGTCGTGGGCCACCAGTATGCCAGGGTTGCCTGGCGCTAACAGAGCTCTGACGGGGATTAGTCGTCATACCAGCCACGCACAGTCAACAACGGATCGACCATGGAACTTGAGATCGGGCTATGTATTCACTACGGGTTTTTTTCTTCTTTTTGTTGCTCTACTATCCATTCCCTATATAATTTTGCTACGAAGGACCAGTTTTCAGAACTCATCAAATGGAACTATCTACGCCGACTAGAAACAAACCCTGCCGATCTACACCTCGATCTCGTCTCAAGTCTCTCTATCCGACAACTCGCCCTCCGGCGTCAACACTGCGTAAAACGCATCCCTGACGAGCATTCCTCGTTGCCCTCCACTGTGTTCATGCCTAAGAGATATTTTGATGTCGAACCCATGAACCCACCCATGACTCCCGACACACTCCGCCAAAAGGTAATTAATCACACCTCTTGCCAAGCTTCACCAAATTCACAACTAACTAAATTTCACAGACCCAACGATCGCATCAACAGAACCAGGAACGCGCCTACGTCGCCGCCTCGAGACGATCCGACCGCAGCATCGAAGCCCGCGTCCAGTCTGCCCGCATGGCCAGCCAGGTCCACAAGACCCGCACCGGCAGGGCGCTTCGAGTGTCCGAGGAGATAGTCATGATGGACGAAATGTACGAGGAAGAGGACGGCGGTCTCTTGCGATGCTACCGTATCTTGGGACAGCACCTGCAGACCCCGTCGGTCGACATGAACTCGAAGGCGGATGCGTACCTGAAGAGCCGGGTCACCCTGTCCCAGATGGTCTCGTCCAAAGAAAAGGACTGGCATGAGAACGAGGTCAACCGGCAGTTTGCTCAGTGCTTCCCTCGCGCTGATCAGACCATATCTGAACGATGGGCCACGCCTCGACTCTCCATTTCGTCCATTTCCTCGCAGGCCCAGGGCGATCACCAGCATGCGTCGAATGTCCAGTCCGTCAACTATGGGCAAGAACCATATCCTGGCGCCCAGAACCAATCACCCTCGGGCGTCTCCCAGTCCCAACTGGGCGCGGATACCGTCGCCCTGTCTCCGTCAGCTCTGACACCCGAATCTACAACTTCCCCGGAGACACCTCAGTCGGACGTCGGGTCGGTTTCCGGGAATGCCATACCACCCGACGCTTTCATGGACTACGGCTCTGACGGATCGGTACTCACCGCCGAGCTTCCGCTTGAGGCGAAGTTGCTGATGACAGGCTTTGACCAGCACGACGCCTTTGACCCGGTCATGTACGGCCAGCAGTGGGATACGACGCTGAACAGCTCTTACGAGGTGCCGAAATGCGCCAATGGAGAGAATGAGCTAGATGTTCACGATGATTTCTATTTCAACGGCCTGGATTCGGCGAATTGGGACCCCATTGCCCACCAGAACAACTCTGCAGACGAGCTCTCTTGGGACACATTTATCAATGACTCTGCCTGGAACAACGACCAGTAATCGGCGTCTGGCCATGCCTTCTCATGATTTATGGAATCATGACCTTTACACTTTTACGTTTTATGACGTGACGCCGCACACCTAACAACGGCGAGACTGGTTTTTCCAGTAAAAAGGATACTCTGCAGGATTGGGTCGGACAATCCCCGGAGATACAACCAGAGACCGACAGGGTTTATGCATAACATCAGTCATTTTGGGTATGGTTTTGATGGCGTTTTCTTTCATTCATTCTCCTCTTCTCTTGGCGGGATATGGACCTCAAATATCTTAGCCATGGCGTTCAACAAGTCCATTACCTTTGGAAGCAGCAGCGGTGGCATCTTCGGGTTCCAGTTCGCCTATGACTTTCCCCAGATGGTTGACCACCTAATCGCCCACGAGGCGCCCACTTCGTGTCTGCTCCCGGACGCTTCCGAGATTTTCGACTGGTCTCTTCAACACCGCAGTGGAATCGACTGATGGTATGGTGGAAAATCACTGGTAACATGATGTCAGACACGCACCCCTGGCAGATGGCGCATCGCAGGCTAGCTCATGCACAGGTGGGAACTGTCCGTCTGGTCAGGAGACTTGAAGCGAGGGCTAGGAGCGCCGATCGTCGTCTTTAGCAACTAGAAAGCAAGATAATTCACATGGAAGACACTATTGCGAGAGCTTTGGCGAGCTGAATCGGTTGATGGAACTTCCAAGGTACCTACATATGCTGACACAATTGTGTTAAACACCGCCGTGCTAGAGTCATTTGTTGCATGCCAATTACGGTAACAGAGAATAAACACTCCGCTAATGCGTATATTAACTTGGCTTATTCTGAATGTTACACCATTATGCTAACTTGGTCACAAAGTGGATTTAATAGTCTGCGCCTAGCATTCACTAACAAGGTCAATATCTAAAAAACGAGGTTTAGGGGCCGCACCCATCTTATATACCCCGTCCCGGCTATGCGGGTCTCATAAATACCCTCCCTTCGGTCGGCATAGTCACTCTGTTCCGTAGGTGTTACGGATTCCATCATATTAACGCGATATTACTCTTCCGAAGAGTAGTGAACTAGAGCCCTCCAGGCGTAAGTGAGACGCAATGTCACTAACCGATCCCAGAATCCCCTTTTACGGGGTAGCTATCCTTATACAGCTCTACTGCCCGTCTTCGATCCCGCCTGGCTCGAAAAATGAACGACGAGACGTCGAGGATAGTCCCGTCTGGATTGCGGGGGTGCATCCGCCTTACTTATACTCCTCTGGTCACACAGGTTGCTTCGCAATTGTATAGACTTACCCCATTCGTCTGTCTCGATGACTAACTTCAAACCCGCGTCCACTTTTACCTCCTTCCCGCTTCTTATTGGCTACTCGACCATCGCTCCGCTCTACCCGTGGTTAACTAACTGTGGTCTGGCCACAAGTGACCTACACTTCCCTACTCAAACTTAACTCAGGTGAATAGCAATGATGACAATCCGAATAATATACTACAATAGCTAATTTAGAGTTGCAGGTAAGCCTTTTTTACTAGCTACAATATATGCGAAGCCTTGAGTGCTTATCCCTTTGAGTGCCGTAAGGCGACACTTAAGTCACGAGCAGGGGGTTCTACCAGTTAGAGGATAGATTACAAGAGGTACAACTGGGCTCACCAAAAACGGGTGGTAGCAGAAGTTCCACCGATTGCTAGCGCTACCAAGATCTACATCAGGTAGCTCAGAACCACACTGTAATTGCACTTGCCACAGGTTATTCTGCGTCAATCGCTCCCAGCCGGGATTGTGTGGGTCCCGTGACCTAAGTGTCGTCTTACGGCACTCAAAGGGATACCATACTTGTATGAGATGAGTTCTATAACAATTATTTACACATCCTTAGACGCAATCCAAGTCTTCAAAAAAACAATCACAAGTAAAGATTACCGCAATAAGTCATTTAAATCTCTATCACCTCCAGGTCAGACAAGAAATTCCCCTCGCTGAAAACCTCGTGAGAGCGAAGATATCCACGCCCCTCTCTTCATCCAAGAGATTGCCGAGTCCTATAACTCAGTCGCCCAGCGGGTAAGCGTGCAAGACCTGCCCGTAGTAGAGTTCCGCATCTTTGGAAGCTAGGAAAACGTAAGAAGGTGCAATTTCGCTTGGCTGGCCCACGCGTCCCAGTTGAGACTGCTTCCCAAAGCCTTCCATCTGCTCCGCTGGCCTGGATGCTGGCTGGAGAGGGGTGTGTACAGGACCGGGCGCGACTGCGTTTACCCTGATGCCCTTGGGTACCAGCTGCTTCGCCAACGACCGAGTAAAAGATGTGATAGCACCCTTGGTTGCTGAATAGTCAACCATGGTAGCTGTGCCCCGAAAGGCGACTGTGGATGTTGTATTGATGATTCTAACATGTTAGCAGGAGCTCAAGTTCAGGAACTCGCCATATTGGGAATCAAGTACTTACGAGCCGCCTTTCTCCATGTGTTCCAGTGCATACTTTGTCACGGCAAACATCTGCAAGATATTGCTGCGGAAAGAACTCTCGACGTCGTCCAGATTGATATCCTTCAGGTCCTCACATATCATCTGCTTTGAGGCGTTATTGACAAGCACATGGATCTTGCCAAATTTGTCAACATGTTGCTGAACCGCATTGCGGCAGGTTTCGTTGTTCATCAAGTTTCCCGCAATAAGCAAACACTCTCGACCTTCATTTTCACTATCTGTTGCGTTTCTTCTGCGTCTTTCTGTTCGTCTGGGAGATAGACAATACTGACATCGGCTCCTTCACGAGCAAACAGTACAGCCACGGACCGGCCAATGCCAGAACTGTACGCGGTTAGGGATTATAATCCAGGTCAGGAAGGGAAACTTGCTCGCCACCAGTAATGAGAGCCTTGGTACTTTTCAACTTTCCCGCTGCACGGTACTCATGAAACTGGTCCTTACCCTCCAATTTTGTAGCTTCACTTTGTGGCTGCAGGTCTTGCTCCGTCCTGCCAAATTATCAGATATCCGTGAAGCTAGCTAATAGTGGTAAAGGGAAGATTGCTATGGCGATTGCGCATACCCTGGAAGGTTTTGAGACTGCTTTTCTTCGATCGGGTAGAATTGACCGTTCTTTCCTGACATCTTGGCGATTCTTGGGGCTCTGCAGTTATGCGGCTTAAGAAAAAGTCTCAGCACTCTGAATGAACAATTGCGAGAAGTTCGGAGCATGTGTTAAATTTAAAAAGAGAAACCCTCCCGATTTTTAACCCATCTTCTATCAAGACAGGCACATGCTATGATCGTACGACTTGCTATAACAACATCAGTATTAGTCGTGCACGTCATATCGGAAACATCTCTCCGCTGGTGCACGTCATATACGACACATTACTTCGACCACCATATCTCCATGACACCATAGCTGAGAAAATTAAAATACTGGACCAGACCGCCCTATTTGAGTATGTGCCCTATGAAGGTTTTCAGTACGGTGATGTCGTAACAAGATGCGGGGCGACCCACGAATCGGGAAACGGGATTATTCCGTTGTTTGTAAAGTAGGGCTGAATCAAGAACAGGTGGATAACCCAAGGCGTCATAGTGAGCCTGAGTAGGCCTGCAGTGCGACTGACCCCAATCACCAACGCTTCAAACCCTCTTTGTCGTCAAGGAGCTGGTTGAGTCTATGATAAATGGACTCGTCATTATGAACCCTTGACATGGTGTTGCATTCTGCCTCTGTGAGATACCCCGCTCGGCAAGCTTCAGCCAGGTATGCCGTGAGGGGTACCAAATATCACTCTGAACTCATACATGCGCATTTATGTCGTATTGAGGACAGTGCGATGAAAGTTCAGGCTGCGATACCAAATCCATGACTGCATAGAGGGCTGGGAGATAAGAAAAGAAGCTCATCCGAGATATTTCACCCCCTATCTGCCCGGCCACCCACAGCCGTAATGCTCAAAGCAGAAGGAAGTTGCCTCCATTCACCAATATGTCACGAAAGATTTGCATCACGGCCGTTGATGGCCAAACCGGATTCCTCATTGCCGAGCTCATTCTCAAAAATGAAAATTTTGCTGGCAAGATTGATTCGGTTGTTGGGCTCACTCTTGATCCCAGGTCCGACCGCGCGCAGGAGCTCAAGGATCTTGGAGCAACCATCATTCCCCATGTCATTGGGCGCGTTCGCACCGTGACAAAAGCGCTCAAGGACACAGGCTGTGATACTCTCTGTCTTGTCCCTCCAGCGCATGAGGAAAAATTTGACATATGTGTAGAGCTGGCCCATGCGGCCAAAAAGGCAAACATCGTCAATATTTGTCTGATTAGTTCAGCAGGTTGTGATTACGCGGATCCCCAGAAACACCCACATCTTCGTGAATTCATCGATTTGGAAAGCCTTGTTCTTGAGGCCAAGGGCGATGCTAGTGCTGCGACAGGATGCTCGCCTTGCGTTATCCGGTAAGTCAACCTCAAGATCGCTCCAAAACGACCAGGTGGTGACGGCTTATAGCGCAGGTTTCTATGCTGAAAACCTCCTCCTGTATGCGCCTCAAGCTAAGGAGGAGGGTATTCTCCCTTTACCTATTGGTGACAAGCACAAATTTGCCCCAGTCGCTCTAGGCGTAGGATGCTCACATTTGTTCATCTTGATGCAAAGCTGACTTAATGAGCAGGACGTTGCCCAAGTTGCGGCTCATGTTCTCACGGGCAAAGGAAAACATGGTTTCAGCGATAAACACCGTGGACAGATGATGATTGTTACGGGTAACGTTTTTTATTCTAATTGAGAAAGGTTTACAACTGGTCTGATTGATGCCAGGTCCAATGCTTTGTGCAGGAGATGAGCTCGCTACCGCAGCGAGCACAGCACTGGGAACCGAACTGAAGTTCGAAAACATTTCCGAGTAAGTCTCGATTGCAAGACCCCATATAATGCGTAAGAAAATCACACACAAGAGGCTAAATTCCCTTTTCAGAGCGGAAGCCAGGAAGGTTTTGAAGGCTCAATCAGAAAGTGATCAATCTGAACAAAAGTATGTCCTCGAGTACTATCGCCTGGTACGCGAGGGCAAGACAAACTATATTGCAACTACTGCTTTTCATGATGTCACTGGGGAACATCCAACTGAGCCCGAGGCCTTCTTTCAGATGTATAGTGCTGAGATGCGTCCGTATAAGAAGGTCAAGCGCCATCATTAGCCGGAATCACAATTTAGACTACATTTTCAAT